GGTAGGTAAGTATGTAGGTAGGTAGGGATGTATATTTGCATGATGCACATGCTTGGTCAGTCACCCGCCTCTCCCCGCGTGAACAGATGAGCAGGACTTCAGCAAGCCCCCACAAATCCCTAAACCCAAACCCCTAAANNCCTAAACTCCTGAACCTTAAACCCTACAGCGTGTCCCAGCCTCCGGCAGGCGCCACAACAGCTGGCGTCCGCCGATTCCGAGCTCCTGAAGGCATCGTTTCGAAAAGGTCGCAATCGGCGTCAGAACACCCTAGTCGGAGTCTACTCACTTCACGTTTTTATTTTGTAGAGTTCAGTGCTTGTTGGTTTGCAGGCCTTCCACGGCCTTCTTGGGGACGAGTCCATGCTCCTGCCCAAGCAGGCACACTGGGGTTGTTGGGGCGTGTGAAGGAGATGTGTGGTACTCAAAGATTCTGCTTCACTTCTTGGTTGCCTGCCCAGATAACGAAAGCCGCCTTGGAGCTGCAGCGCAACTACTCGCCATTTGTCCAGACCGCGATGCCAGACTTGGAAAACGTGGTCAAGGTGCCACGCTTTGTTTGTGCTCTGTTTCCCACAGCACTTGTGTCTTCTAGCGCAAAGACCCGCCGGGGGCAGCAAAGCCGGCGTAAAGCCAAGCCGTGCTTCTGGCCCGCAAAACCCGAAAACCACCCAGTGGATCTTAAAGCTGCGGCGGTTTATGCTCCCGCTGGGCATCGAAGTTGAGCATGCACATCGAATCTCTGGGAAACCATCAGCCATCGATCCGCAACCTGCAGGAAGCTTTGCGAAGGAAGTGGCTCCGGTCTAGCAGCTTGTCCCAGGATTGGCATCTTTGTGTTGTGCCAGAAGCGACACCTCGATCTGTTTTCGCCCAATCCCAGACCAGAAACGGTTCAAATTCGAGCTGAGGCAGCGATGGCTTACGACCCTCCAACTTCGGATCCAACAGTTCCAGGAAGTCCCTCGTCCTTTCTTTTGCCAGAGGGCACTCCACTGGGTCTCGGATGGATGAAAGAGGTATTTGAAGTTGAGGAGGTTAGGCCGCAGGAGTTAGTAGGTCTGGGTGGGGGTTTGAGAGCGTGAAAGAGTGAAGAAGGAGGAAGCATGAATCAAGCTGACTCCAAACTACGAGGCTGGACATTGAGCAGGTCAGGCCGAATACCTGCTGGCCTCAAACGGGGTCAGGTTTGGGATATGGGTTTCCCCACAATCAGAAACCCCAAAGCAGGTCCTAAATAGAGGATATAGTGGGATCCTTACTGTACAATGGGATGTCCCTGGTTTAAGGATTGGTTGTGTGAGCGCCAAACTCTGTAAACCAGGCCTGCGCCTATTGGGCCACTCGCCCCCGGAGCTTACCCCGCGCAAGCAGCTGGAGGCTTTCAGACTGTCACGGCCCCAGTGCGCAGGATAACTTGGGATAGAGTAGCTGGGTAGCCAACAGTCTGCAACAACTGCAGCTGAAGCACCATCGAAGTGCTTTGAGTGCCACATGGAACAACGTTCTCTGAGTGACATGATGCGTAGTTTTCAGGACTTCGGAAGCACGAGCCAAGATTACCGCAAACGCTTGCAGCAAGCCGGAGAGCTATCCTTCAGCTTCATAGGTCCGCGGAGAAAAAGTTGAGACTTGTCCCCACTAAACCCACGAAAGTCTGGCGGAAGCGGCTTGGAAACAAGAAGTGCTGGTTGAACCTCAGCTCATGAGATCTCATGAGGCTCAAAGGGAGCAGCAGTCGTGGAAGCATCAGGCCAGTTTGTTGGGGGGGGGGGGGGGGGGNNAAGGGGTTGGAGGTTCGGGACTAAATCAAACGTTTGCGATGTTGGCAGCTTGGTGCTAAGTTTCGTTTTGTTTTTGTGTTTGTGGTTTTGAACGTGAATCGGAGTCAAGGATGTGTAGATTATAGCTCGTAAGCTGCACAGAGTGGGGGATTCCGTTCGATGTTTCTCACCGGGACGTCCAGACATTTGCAGGTTTTGCGGCAAACACATGGTAGCAAGGAAGGGCTTCAGATGTCGATTCCAGGCACACCAGCAACCAGCTAAATTAGACGGCAAAACGCCCTGGCGCTCCTGCATGCGATGCTCCGTGTTGCAGGCAAGCTCAGAGACTTCAAACGATGGGCAGCCTGGCTTCATGTGCACCGAGCCACTCCTGTCCGCCTCCCTGCCCTGCCTCCCTGCTGGGCATTCCCAGAGCTTCGGCTTCTGACTTGTAGGCCTAAGCCCAAAGACCCGGCAACAGATCGTGCCTCAGTGTGCCCAGGCAGGAAAGAACTGCTGATGGACAGGACGCCTTGCTCGAATAACTTCCTTTCGACGCTCTTAGCCTTTGGGTAGGAGGCTTCAAGGTTCGCTTCTGCGGTTCTCGACTTGCTCAGATGGAGAGCAGATGGGTCGAATCTGGCAAATCACCTGAAGCTCAACCCTAGCAGAGGTCCCTCAACTTCAAGCCCAAACCATGCGAAGAGGACTCGGTGGGGGTGGACCCGCTTCAGAAGCAGGATGTGTCCGGCTTGCTCAATGAGCTGATGTTATTGCTGCTTGGCTTCTTGCTCTTTGTGCACGTTTTCCGCATTCTGGGACTTGCAGCGAGAGGGAAGAACGAATGCACCAACAGCCTACCAGATTTAACCCATGCGACTCTGCACAGTACTCAGCCATTACAAAAGCATGGTTTCCCATATTCCCCACCTGCATTGTGGTGACTTAAGTAGTGGGTAGCCAAGAAGGGAGGTTGCAGCACACCTTGGCCCCAGGGGGTACCAATAGCGTCTCGGTGTCTTTGATCGGCATGAGGTTCCCAACCGGCATGCGCTTCTCGGCGCTTAAGGACCAAGCTCCGCAAGCTTTGTTGCGTGCGCACGTGTGGGTTGGACAGGGTTCGAGCTTTGGAGCTCAGAAGAGCCCACGGGCTTGAAGCCTTCTTCCACATCTCAACGCCTCTGAAAGCTTGCTCCCGATGCTCGAAATGTCATCACAAGGCGTAGATGATGATTTCTTTGGAAACGTTTTTGCTATCAGACTCTAAAATCCGCTCGTCAGCCGCACGAGGAGCACCTCAAAGCCTCCAATGATGGGCATTTCTCTGAGAACTCCTTCCTTTGTCCCACAATCGCTCCCTGGCTGCATAGAAATCTGGCGGTGCCCCTTCGGCATCCTTAGTGTGGCTTAAAGGTTCCGCGGCCCGAGCCCCCATCAGCTGTTCGAGAGTTCCGGGTGACCAGATGCCCTGAAGCCATTGCGTTGCTATCGTACGCCCTCCTCACGCCGAGGCTAATGAGTACGAAGGACTTCCAGAGAAGGTGGTCAATGGAGGCCCGGCGACAGAACGAAGTTCTTCGCAGAGGGTGGATGTGGACTTCGCAAGAGGCAGTCACTCAACATTGGACTCTCTCTAGGTTTCATCGGAGCTGGAAAGTCGATCTTGAAGTATGATGGTGTTTGCCTGCGTCGTAACTACTCGCATGCTGTTCTTTCGCATGTCACGACTTTGAACATCATGCTAAAAGCTGCCAGCTCCTTACCAGGACTCGTCAATCATAGCCTCATAGCCTTTGCATGGACGATCCTACGCAGCACCAAACGTCTCCCCTAACCTCAGTGGCCTGCGCCGGGTGCAGGCGAACTTCCCTTGTAAATTGGAAGGTCCCCTTGCGATGGTTGAGCGTAAGAGCAAGAAGCACCTCATAGGCTGTAGGCCAGTCCCGAGAAAGCACATGCGGAGGCCGTTGGCGCAATTAAATTCGGCATGCACCATATTCTGCATCCACTTGTTGTGACTGCCGCTCGGTTGCGATTGGAGGATTTAGAGTCAGAGTTTCAAGCCTGCACTACCCTTCCGTTGAACAAGATGTTGCTGAAGCCCGTGCACCTGTCCCAGTCTGACACACAACAATACATGCCGGGCACAGCAGCCGAGGTTGACTCTGAAGTTTTGAAGGCAGAGGCGATTGTAGCAGTTGGCGAAGGCCTGCGACGTCAACAGAGGTATTGTTGCAAGATGGAGTTGTGCGAGGTAGTTGTTACAACGTCATACTTAATATGCAGCCTTATTCGCATTGAGGGTGATGTACCGATTCATAAGACTGCAGATGCATACATACGTACATACATCAATAGCCGTACATTCATGCGTCCTTGCATCTGCCAGCGCGTGCATGCGTTCGTGCCTTCATGCGTACATGCATCCAAGCATGAGCACGCACATACACCGACATGCACCTCCTTGTATACATTACCATCCATTCTTTCATTCGCTGCATCCACCTACCTTGCCTTACACGACGTTAAGTTACGATGCGAGAACTACATTACGCGACATTGCGTTGCACGGCGCTGAATTGCATTGCGTCGCACGGCACTGTTTTGGTTTGCGTGGCTTTGCATTGAGCTTCACAGCTTTGAGTTAGATTCGGTATGATATTAGATGAGATTACATCTGAGTGCGCATTGCATCATCTAGCACAATATGTTACATGCATTACGTTGCACCGAATTGCATTGCATTGCGTTGGATTGCAGTCTTGCATCACATTGCATTACGTTGAATGCATGACATGTTTGCATGCACACATGTACTCATGCTGATGAACGAACGCACGGGTGGGTACATGGGTAAACAAATCCAAAATCCGGCATCAATGCAGTCCAAACCTGTGCACGGGGGCTGTTTGCATCAGATCTTTGAGATGGCTTGCCCGGCAGAGAGTGGATAGCTTCCGTTGCCTTTCGTCATGGGACCCGGCACATTGAAGTCCAGGGTTTCACGTTGCATGAAACGGCACACCAGACTTTCAAACCTTTCTGACCTACGTGTGCGCCAGGGGTCGTCTCCCTGCTCCTCGCCTTTGCCGCTAGGCCACGGCCGTCAATAGGCGGGCGGGTGGCAAAACTATATGATATATAAACATGTACGTATATTCCTAAGTTGTTGTTAGTCAGTCTTATTCTTACTAGTATTCTTTCATTAGCACACGGTTGTTTCTGGTGTGCTGCTGGCGGAGCTGAGCGGGTGAGCAGCCTCTCTCTCTCTCTCTCTCTTTCTGTCTCTCTTGCTGCTTCGTCGGTCCGCCAGGCGTATCATTTTTGATTCATCTGTGTACATTTATGTGAATCTATCTGTCTACCCTACTGTACTGTCTGCCCATGCATTCTTGCAGGTGTGCATGCCTGAATATCTTTGTCTTTATCCTATATGTGTCTGCGCCGATATGTGTACCTATGTGCTTGTGCGTTTGTCTGTCCCCGTTTGCAAGCATCCGCGGTTCTGTGTATCCATGCATCTGTGCAAGTGCTGTCGCTGTTTTGTTACTTGCCAGTGGCTATCCGGATATACTTCCTCTCTCTATGCCCATCTGTCTGACCATCTACATGCATATCCATAGTAATCCATAGTTACTTCGGTCTTCCCAGATTGAGTCTACATAGGTCTTGAGGTGGGTTTGCACCTGAAGTTCTACGCTCCTCACAGGCTTTATCTGTGAGGCTTTGGTGTGCAGGCTGTGGCTGTAGGATTCAATCCAGGACTTCCGACATCAATGGCCTTGCTCAAGGCTCCTGATTTTGGACTTCCGACCTTTCGCTTACTGCAAGATATACCCGAGTTCCCTGAGTTCCTGTTTCTTCGCTGAAACGTACCATCCATCCAAATCCAGCATCAGACCGGGAACAGGGATCCTTTGCCTAGAGAGCGGAACTCTGGACCACGAACCCTGCCGACCTGAGCCTGGCAAGGTGACCTGTCGACGGATGCCGAAACGCCTGTTGTCCCCGAATGTGGTAAGCCTGCTCATCACTGAAAAAGATCTGCACAGCAGGCTTTTGGGGCGAGACCTGTGTCTGGAAAATTGTTTCTGAAGGCTCCGGGCCGTTTCCACTTTGCGTGCACTTCAGCTTTCGTCCCGCTGTGTTGGCGCATTTCGCTTGAGCCATGCCTGGAGCCTCCCATTCTTCCACCCCATCGAGACCCTCGCACTCCGAACCCCGGCAAGGACTGAGAAACCTTCGAATGGATCGCAGTTAGCTTGGCTCAGATTGTGACGTAGCCATGCGGGAGTTCACGCTTCCGTTCAAGCCCGAGGCGGGCGAGCGCGGCAGTTCGTGGCCGGGATTTGAGGGAGTTTCAGCATTCAGCTCTGGGTTCAATTTCCATTTCCTGGTGCAGCTGCATGGTGACACGACTGCTTTTCATGTTTTTTCTCTCCACCTGGCTCAAGACAGTCTTGGCTCGAGACCGTGCTTCCCGTCGCCCTTTGAGACCTGTCCCGCCAGACAAAATGCTGGCAAGAGCATTCTTGCTTGCTTCGGCCATGTTGAAGGCCCAGCGCGAACACCACCACGAAGCTGGACGAGTGCGAGGAATCCGCCGCAGGCGTATACGAGAAGGTGAAGCTGGTGACAGCCAATGGGCAACTTGCGACCGTCTATGATGTGGGCGATGACACCTGTTCCGGTGCGCCAGTGATGACTTCCTTGAGTGCTCACCTCTGCATTGCCTCGAGTGACGTCCCGGGATTCGTCAGCCGCCTGTCGTCGTGCTACGGAGATAAGCTAATGAACTGCTGGTACGGCAACAGCGACTGTACTGGCAGTCAAATGTGCTCAACCTTGGGCTCTGACGATCTGGGCTCGTGCTCTGCAGGGTCCGGAGGTCGGTATTCGAGAACCATCATTCTCGGCTCCGATGATGAAGTTGCCGAACTCTGCACTACCACCACAACGACCCCATTTGCAGGCATTTCGGGCAACATCAGCGTCCACACGGACGGCGCTTGCTCTACGCTGGAGGCCACGTACTCTGTCGATTTGGGGCCGTGCACACTAACCGGATTGACCACATCCCAGAAGTTCACATGCAGTGAAGGATCGATCGCTTACCACGTGTACACCACCAACGACTGCAGCGGTGAAGCAACGACGCAGGTCTATGAGCAGGGCCCATGCACGCCAGTCGAGAACGGCACGTCATCCTGGATCGTTACCTTCCCTGAGTGCACTGTGCCTACAACTGCAGGAGGCGCAGCCACTGTGTCTACAACTGCGGGAGGCGCAGCAGACTCAGCAGCGGTGCACTTGAACATCGGGTCTGTGATCCTTGTCTTCCTTGCTTGCCGCTACTTCTTTTGAGTTGTGCAGTTGGTTGCGAGGTAGACTCGACTGGGATCCAGGCACTCACAAGGTGTCCAACACAATTCTGTCACTATATCTTTTTTCGTGCTATGCACACTGCCTTGCAGTACCAAATTTTCATCGGTGCACTTCAAGTCGCGCCTTTCCCCAATTCCTCGCAATGTCCCACATGCGCAAATCCGTGCGTATGTTTGTACAGGTCAAAAGCCGTGGTCGCATCGCTCGCTGAGACAAAAAAAGAGGGAGGTCAAGAGCCAGAGTTGTGAACTGGGTGTGCTATGTGCAATACTTGGTTGCGACGATCATCGTGTTATGCTTCTGAGGGGTGCGATGTGTGAGCCTTCTGTTCAGGCAGATTTCGGATGAAGGATGCTCCATCAGACGGAAAAAGGCGTTCAAAACAAAAGAAACCCGTCTCCAAAGTCAGAGCTCCAGCCCGAAGCCCTGGGCCCATGCCAGGAGCTTCTGGCGGAGCCCAGTGATGGGCGGCTCTGGGCCTCCGAACTTCCCTGTGTGGAGTCCTGGTCCGAGAAGGCGGACTTATGCTATGAGGCTACAAGCCTAGAAGGGTAGCTGTACGGGTACGCTGTAAGGGCTATTTGTAGGGGGTTTCGGAGGTTGTGCCTGGGATTCGGATTCGCCCAGCTTCCGGCAGGTCCTAAACGAACGAAGGAGCCCTGGCAATCCAGCCGAAGTCACGTGCAGCAGTTGTACTGGTACTTACTTAGAGCCATAGGTCTTAAGTGCTCTGAAGTCCGGTAGCAGATTTGCCCTGCTTTTCGCTGATCTCTTTTGGTTTCCGGTTCTGGCTTTGGAGTCGCTGCTGAGGCTTCGGGGCTCAGAGACGTAGTGAGGTTCGCGAAGACAGGGCAGAGGTCCCGGGCTCCGGACTGGCTTTCAGCGGGCCGAGGGGTATAAAACATACCGGACTGAACCTGAAAGATCCTAAACGCCAGGAAGTGAATAAGGCGCTGGATGGCTTGGTGGGGCGGCTCCTGGGAAGCCAGGGAAAGGACACGATGTCCTTGTCGTTGGCTCGGTTTTGGGTAGTTTTCTTTTCCAGGTTCCTGAGGTGTGGGGGCTCTGACAGAAACACAAGGGTTTAAGTTTTCTTGTGGTGGGCAAGGTGGGGCCATTCTCCGAGATGGACTTGCATTTTGCTTTGCTTGGGCTGAGTTGTGGGGTTCCTGTGCATACACAGTGTCCACCCGCGGGGACATGGGACACCTAGCGGGAGTACCCATACCAAATCATGGCACAGGACCTGGCAGATGAGTCAATGTTCTCCCTGCTCTTCGCGATCCTGCAAGCATGGCCGAGGCCGGGCCCTCATTGCACCCGGGACTCAAACTGCAAGGGCTTACTCAAGCCAAGACTGCTGGGGTTATCGCCTACCGGCTCTGCCGGCAAGTGGAGCCGGCCGGCCCCTTGTAATTCCGGCATCGAACCCTTGTTCCTTGCCGATCCCCCCAACGCCTCGCAACGAAGATTGACACTGGGGTCTCTGAGTCAGGCTCGATGACAGCATCGCACCTCGTGCGTCGAGCTCAGTCTGCGAGTTGTGTTGTTTTTGAAATATATAGTTTCGGAGACCAACTCGGGATGATCCCAGGCCTGATCGGAGGCGTTGGTTTGGGATGCACATCACCCGCAACTGACAGTGCACAGAGATGTGCAGAGTTCGGATGGATTGTGGACTCTGAAGATACTACTGTTACACACTGCACTCCTTCAGGGAAGGCCACATTTCAATCCTGTCTGCACCCATAGAAGGACGACGACGACCTGACCTATGTAGGCGAAGGGGCCCTTTCAAACGGGCTTTGAGCACAAAACTCCGAAAGCCCTGAATCACGACCCAAGCTCTGACCCTATCTGCTTCAAGAATCATGGGTAGTTGTAAGTATGGTTGTAGATTGGTTACAAGGCCCTTGCTTGGAGCCATAAATGGGCATGAAGCTCCTTCAACTGTAGCGCTCTGACTCTTACCTCTAACCGTACTTACGAAGTTCGATGATCCTTTAGGTAGACCCCCTCTCCTCCAAAATCCGAAACCAGGTGGTGGACCTGCTCACAGATTCCGCTCGGCGGCTGATTGCAGAGGCCGGTAAAGTGCGCAAGGGCGCGAAGCCGGCGAAGGCCCCCGAGAAGGTTCATGGGCCTCGGCTTTTTATTTTGAGGGCTTTGGAATCGCTCACCCGGATGCTGAGGCCTCCCGTAAGAGTTCGCAAAGACCGACAGAGCGTTGTCTGGGGATCTAGAAGGAGAGCGAGGTCATGCGGAACTGAAGCCTGGTCATCCAGACGTAGTTGCAAACAGGGCCCTGCAGGGTCCACGCACAGATTGGAACTGGCCCAAAGTCTGATCCCCCGAAACCCTGGCGAGGTGGACAAGGCAGCCGAAGCCCAGTCAAAGGATCTACGAAATGCATCGAAGGCACCGAGCTTGTGTGATTTGGGACTTGGAGCATTCGTTTAGTCGTCGCAGGAACAGCTATGCAGGTTGTGGGGTGCACTCAGTCTTTGCAGCTGCAAGACACCTGGTTTTCTAGCCTTAGTTTTGGTGTGGTATGACCCGTAAGTCGTAAGTCTCATCGTCACCGGGGCCACACGAACTCGAGCACCAGGCTGCGTGCATGAAGAGGCTGGAGGCAGATGGACGCATAACCATGGCTCCATTCGGCTGCCGAGCCCCACAAAAAAGCCCTTGATCGGACATTCGGGGGCTCTTCTTTTGCCAGGTGGCAGCCTTCTTTCTGCGCTGGACCACGGAGTACCTGATGCAACAAGGTTGGGGCTTTGCATGCGGGAGTCCGGTGGTTCCCTGCCCACGTTACATCCTCAGTTCCATTAAAGGCTTGTTGTCTTGTAGAGACGACGGATGTTACGGTCGCCCGCTACCTTGGAGCGAACACTGCTCACCTCAAGTTCCCATCTTCCTCGAGGCACCACCGAGTCGCGCAAAGGCCGAGGGCGAGGTCGAGGAGCGAAGGCGCGGCGTGCGGTGTTTTTTCGGGTGTGAGAGGTCTGGAGGATTTTCTGGTCGAGGGCTGGTCGACTCACGTGTGTGTTTCAAGGTTCAAGCTCATGCTTTGACTCGGCATTTAAATTCAGATGGCAAGACGTCTTTCCATGATCGAAGAGTCTGGCATTCTTAGAGTTTTTTGGCCTCGCGGGTCCCGGAGTTGCTCTGGACATTGGAGCAGATTGTGTGTGAAGACTGCCTTGTTTGGCTCGCTCTTTTTCGACAGAGCAGGTAGTGCGGCCTTGCCTTGTGGCGGCCCGAAATAGGAGTCGAAACGCCTCCCTGTTTGTTGTGCTTCGACCTCTTGTACTCAACTACTCCAAATCTGTCGAACCTTATAGAACTTCCTGTGGACTTTGTTCCCCACATGATTTGGGCCCTGGCACTCGACCACCCAGATCCGAGAGGGAGAGCTGTTGCAAGCCTCACGAACCCCGAACTTGCTTAGCACACAGTTGAGTTTCTGAAACTTCCCAGCATGTTTAAGTCTGTCAAGACGTGGTTCAAGCCCTTCCTACCTCAATGCAAGATGCATGCGCAGGCGGGCACAGCCTTGCAACAGGCTGCCAACTGAGACAATGCGAAAGCTTTGGGGATCAACCGTAAACATCCAAATTACCGACTTGAATGTTGGATAGAAATCTCATGAGCCCAGCAGTCGGTGCCCTATGATGTCCTTACACGACTCCTGATGCCCCGGTCAGCCTATGTGCTACAATGCAGCACTAGTTCTCACTTATGTATGTATGTAAGCCTGTCTGTGTCTGTGTCTTCGCCTCTGTCTTTGTCCGTCCGTCCATTTCCAAAGGTTTCTAGCAGGCTTGCATGCATGCACGTAGACATGTCTACACACATGCAGGGACAGAGGAATTCATGTGGGGCTCATGCCCATAGAAGGGGAGAGGTACCGCAACACCTGTGCTTTCTTTATACATTTGCAGCTAGTTCGGTCCCTTGCGTTGTGAAATAATGGAATGGAAGTTAAGGGTCGCATTTGGTGGTCCCAACACTCAGCATCTAGCATTCTATCCTCGCCGTGGGTCGGGCTCCCATCCCTCAGGCAGAGCAGGCGGCAGCGGCCGAAGAGGCAAAGGAGGCGCTGAGAGCGCAGGCGGCCTTTGGCAATTCGGGATGTCTGCTACGTTGTATTAGATCATATGTTTTCGCTGAGAGCTGTTCAAGCTTTCACTGGGCTTTGCTATCATGGATCTTGAGTTGCCGACGGTTGGTGTCAGGCATCAAGTTTTGCGGGCTTCGGAGGTTTTGTTTTGAGTTTTGGTTCCCAAGGTCTTGGGCTGACAGGCTTCTGTGCGCAAGGAGTTCAAAGCCCAGCCGTTCCATGTCCATATCCGTTGGCACGTTTCTTGCTCCAGGAGCGGCAGCGATGTGCCGTGCTCCAGGAGTTGGCAGGGCTGGTGAACCGAGGACACGGCCCGGGCTTCAGGTATTTGAGAGTTCAGGGTCCCAGCCCCGAATGTCCCACAGGCAGTAGGGAAGCCTCAGACGCGTGCTAGTCAGGTCAGCCAAACCGGACGCGGTCAATCCTCACTTTGATGCTTTTTACGTTCCGTTTCAGAAGTGTCCCGACCTGTTTAGTTTGATCTTTGTGATTCAGTCCGGGTAAAGTTGCTGTATCCGAGACATACATCTTATGATCCGGGTGCACGAGGACATTGCCCGAAGAGCTGTGCTTGCAATTGGGGCTCGCACGAACTTGAGCGAGAGTCTGTGTGCTTGAAGGGGCTGGAGGCCCAAACGGAAGGAGGGCAGATCGCGCAAAACCACTTGGCTTAGCTGGTTTTTGGGGCACGACGGTCCGGCGTCTAGAGTTTCTGCAGCTTGTGCAATATCCACATGTGTGTTCATATACACACATCTGATCTTTATATATATATATATGTATATGAATATATATATATATATATATATATATACATACATACATATGTATGTACAGGTGTGTATGTATGTATGTATGTATGTATGTATGTATGTATGTATGTATGTATGTATGTATATATAGATATGGTTGCGCCTAATATTATAGACTCACTACTGCACCATGTTTGCAAATTCCAGGAGCCATGCCTTGGCTGTGGCTCAGCGAGCCCGCCTCGTGGCAGCAGGCAGCCACGGCCGTGTCCGATGCCGGCTTCTACGTCCTGGACTCCACGGAGGCCGGGAGACTTCGAGAGAGAGCTGTGAAAGCATGAGGTTGAAGTTGCAGCCCGTCAGAGTCTCCCGTCATCCAGTGGCAAGATGTTCGCACCTGGACGGACGAAGCGTTCTCTTGCAGAAAGAAGTGATGACGAGACGTTTCTGACCTGACATTTGCTTCTGTCATGTCGGCAATGCATTGCAGTGTCACAGAGAGAAATCAGAATCAGTACTTTTGTTGCAGCTTGTTCATTGTAGTTCTCGTAGAGGCAACACGAAGCTTTCGCCCTCTTTGGGTTGATGCCATGCCTTCATTCGAAAGATAGCAGAGACCAGGCGGAAGCTGCTTCAGTCGCACCTTTGAACCCTAACCATGGAGATCTAAAGCCCACGCCGCAACCCTGAAGCCAAGAGGTCGAGTCATGTTCGCATTTTTAAATGAAGTGGCTTCTGAGCCAGGCATTGAAGAGCCGCGAGACGCGGCAGATGGCCCTTCAGTGCATCGTGGCCCCGCTGCTCCAGGAGACCTGGGCGGTTCTGGTGGAGGGGGATCGATGCTGAACCGGCCGAACCCCGAAGCTGTGAGTCACAGACACGCATCATTCAGCTGAGACTTCAAATCCATCATCCAAACCCTAAGTTAGAAATCTAGAGTCTAGAGTCTAGCTTCGGAGGAGGGCCAGCAGCATTCCAATCTCCTGGTGGCCACCGTGTCGAAGCTCATCCATGGGTTGCGAGTCGGCGAAGGCTCGGAAGTCGAGCAAGAAGAGATACCCAAGGAAGGAATCCGTGCGAAACCTATCAGGAGAAAAGGGGCAATTGCAAGTGCGAGTCTGTTTGCTCTCGTGCACTCGGCGTGGAACAGATTCAGACATCGCACACATGAACTTGTTCGTCCTTTTGCCTCCTGGGAAAGGTAATTCATGTCGAGCATCTCCGACACTTGCCAGATGCGTTCGTGAGTTAGTGAGTAAGTGGCTGGTCCGTCTGTTGGCCGTACAAATCCTTGTCGTTTTGGTTGGCCGTCGTGGGCGGGCGGAGTAAGCAGTCCTCTGGAGTGTCAACCGTGAATTGAAGTCATACCCGAAAGTTGAGAGCAACAATTTCTAGTTTCCACTCACTTCGACCCTCAGCTCGAAATATCCAACCCGACATCTTCAGTTCTTTTGCGTCAAGATCCTGTGACACCCCGCTTAAGTGAGAGGTACTGCCACCTTCACGGCCGAGTGCCTGCTCCAAGCGCACACGACCCCTCTGCCCAGGAAACTGGGCTTGAAGGAACTTGAGGCTCACAAATTCGGTTTCTGCCAGAACCCAAAGTGCTACCCGGTATCCCACGCAGGTGGAGTCGTTTTGTTAGTCTGTCCCGAGTAGCGATCACGTGAAATCACTTTCAGTTTTTCACACCTGATCCTGCAGTCTTCCTCCAGCTGTCGTGAAATCACCAAGGCTCTTTCTCGTCGACCTGACCCAGCCATCTGGCAGAATGATTCCCGGGAGGACAAGGAGTTTAGGGAGGATCTTCCATGAGAAAAACCTGAGAGCCTGAGCGCTGTCTGGTCATGGTGTTGGTAAGCTCGTGTCGGGCTGTTTTTTCCTGTCCTCGTTTCGGCTTCTGCGGCTATCGGGGTTGATCGATACTGTGTACAGGGGCATGACGAGCAAGACTAAGTACCCGACACTCCGAGCGACACGCCCTCAACCCACAGAGCCTGCTTGTAGTCGGAAAGCTCGCTGTCCCAGGCACTGTGGCCAAGAGCTCACTGCCCAGGCTCGGAGGATGTGAAGCCCAGAGTGTTGTGCACCTCAACCAAAATCCTGAAGCCATCTGAATCTTCCGCTTGCAGCAGGGCGCCTTCCAGCGATCCTTGGCCGCTTTCTTGGTCGCCTTAGCAGAGCGCCTGCCCCACGCCACTCGTCCGAAGCCATGTTCAGTTGTCTTCTGTGTTATGGATTCAGCTCGGTGTTTTTGTGATGCTATCTCTGTGCCACTTCTGCAGAGTGTCCAAACTCCCGAAAAGCATCAAGAAAGGTGGTTCTGGCAAACATTTCTGTGCTTCTTCCTCTTCTGGACGTGGATTGCTATCCCATCCGGCAGGCAGGGTGGAGGGACGCGACGTCCCTAGCTGTTTTGCAGGTTGAGGCTTCGGAGTCGATGGGTTCCTTTGGATGCGCGGGTAGCTTGGAGTCGCCACCTGTTGTACGGGTGATTCTGAACCCTGAATGCCTATGCCCCGTAGCCCATCTATGAAGCCCCCCAACCACGCAGCTCTGAGCCGGAAGCGAGCTCGCCGCTGCGAGGCCATCGTTGAGAGCATGGGGCACCTTCTGTCGGCCGAAGGACTGCGTTCGCGGGGTTCTGTGCCTAGAACACTTCGGGGCGTGATGGTCCGGGGTGGAGCCTACACCTTCGAAGCGATAATGCTTCAACAAGACAGGCCGGCGGGCTCACCTAGAACCTCTGATGCAAGCTCTAGGCACTCGGGCCCAAGTCGTGGATGCCCAGCCCTTCTCAAGACCTTGATTGGGTCTTCGACTTATACCAGTAGCCGCTAGCCAACAAGCTACAAATCCGAAGAAGCCCTTGGCTGATCTTGCCAGTTCTGCCAGGCCGCAAGCTGCCCAGAGGGGCCCACAGCGTCCAACCGGCCGCGGAGGACGCCGAGGAGGCGACGGAGGAGCGCTCTAAGAGAGGGCCGAGGCTTTGTTCTCAGGCTTTCTCCAATCCAAGAGCTTGTAGAAGGGTCATTCTCCGGGATGCTAGAAGGGTTTTTACATTTCTTCTATACGGGCTACTGCAAGGCCTTCTACAAGGTTACCACAAGGGCTTCCACAACGTTAAAAAAAATAGGGGTTGCCATCAGGGTTTCAGAGCGCATGAGAACTGCTCCTCATCTCCCGACCATGTGACTGCGCAGGCGGCACAAACCCAGATAGTTCCTCTTAACTTTCAGCTAGCAATGCAGTTTCAGGAGGTGTACTCGTTCACTTTTGCAGTACTTCCGCTTTTTGGATGGATTGAACTCTTCTGGAAGTGGGCTTTCAATGCTGGACGGCATTTGCCCTTGGCCAAGCCCTGCTTTCGACAGTCCAGCTGCAGGTGCTTGCGATCATGTGTGCACGTATATGGAGCACATGTCGGGGCTGCTACAGCCGAACGCACTTTTGATTTTAAGAGAGAGCGGTAAGACTCTGCAATGGAGGGTTTCCACAGGCTGAGGGAAGGTTGGGAGCCTTGAGTTGGCAGCCCAGAAGAACTTGCTGAACACTCGAGCCGCTGTGAGGAAATTGTGCAGAGTAGCAGTGGCACCTTCTCCCTCGCCACTGCGACAAAGACAGACCTGCACCCTGACTGGGCTTCATATGCATGCGTCTTTGTCTTTCCGTCTTGCTAGCTGCAGTTCTGGAGTATCCCTTCTCGCTTGAATTTCACAGATGTTTTTTTTAAAACTTTTGGGGGCCCTCAACCCTAAACCCTAAACCCTCAAACCATAAGCTCGGGGCTTTTGGGGGCGCTTTCAGGCTGGAGACGCTCTTCACGCGCTCGCTGGACAAGAGCGTCTGGGTCCGGTACCGCGTGCTGCAGACCCTCACAAGCTTGGCCTCCAACGCGCGCTTGCCCAGGCAGGTCCAAAGAGGGAAAACTCAGCAGCGAAGAGTCCAGAGACCTTAGGCCTTAGATCTCGTTGCAGGGAGCAGTGGCCACGAGTTCTTGATCTCGCCATTCGCCGAATGCAGGACACGGCCGCTTGGTCGCTTTCATCGGGTAGGCAGTGGAGCCGATGAGCGCATTTCCTTGTTCTGTCTATCCCAGGCAAGCATGTCCAGGAAGGCAGCCATGCAGCTCGTGCGCACCCTGGTGGAGTTTCATCCCTATGGCCCTGCCTTGAAGGGTACGGGCGACGAGCGGGCGAAAGCAGAGAAGCTTCTGACCGAAATCCATGAACGCCTCAAGAAGCTCAAGGCTGAAGAGCTGGCGGAGTTGGAGGGCAAGGAGGAAGAGGAGGAGGAGGACGCTAACGACGAGCCGCAAGAGCAGCCGGAGAAGCGCCGTCGTGTCAAGGGCAAGACCGAGACAGAGGTCAGCATTGCGCGGGAAGTGGACAAAGACCTGTCGGCAGAGATCAGCTCCGACGACGCCCGAAAGGAGTCTCGCCAGAAGCAGCGGGAGGCGCTGCTCCGCATGCAGGAGTGCTATGCACAGAGGGTCCAGTTCGTGGAGTTGCTCGACTCGGCAGAATCGCGGCTGCGGAGCCTTTTATCTTCGAAGACTCCGACGGATGTCACCGAGGCCATTGGTGTGGTAGTTGAGCTTCGCCTGCGCGGCGTTCCTGCTGCAGCCCGCGCCTTCCATCAGGTGCTGGGCCTCGTGTGGAGCCGCCATGCTCCCATCAAGGATGCGGCTGTCGACGCCTTCTATCGCATGCATCTCGAAGGCCGAGACGCCGCCTCTGCCGCCACGGCGATTCTGCACATCTACAGGGATGGCCACGCAGCAGGCAGCCTAACGCACACACATTTGGCCAGTGTCCAGGAGCTCATTCAGCAGGCCGCCGACAAGGAGCTCGTGTCTGCCCGGGACGTAATGCCGACACTCCTGGCATCGCTGACAGAGCCCTCGATGTCGGCCTTCGCCTTGCGAGCCATCACAGCCCTGGTCCCCTCAACAGCAGGGCACGCCTCGGTTTCCGCAGCCCTCCCGAAGCTGAAGGAGTTCATCACACAGCAGAAGGTGGGCTCCGCCGAGGATCGACTGGAGAGCCTGCGGTTGGTGTGCCAGCTCCTCATGCGCTTCCAATCCTCCAGCAAGACTCCCCTGCAACAGCAAGTCTGCGCCACCTTGCACGACATCTCCCAGCAGGCCCTCTATGCTGCTGGATTTAGAGTCGGAGGGTTGCTCGGATGCCATCGTAGGTGCAGGTCAAGAGGCAGCATGATGCAACCGGACTCGAGCCGCGAGCAGGGCCTGCTCATCGTGGTCCAGCACTTCGTCAGTGGCGAAATACCGGCACATTGGTTTGGTGCTGCCCAGGCCACGGCCGTTTAGGTTCAAAGTGTGGGTCGAAGGAGCCTTTAGCCTTTCGCCTGAGCGTCTTGCTGGTGAGCGTGGTCGTAGTGCGGGAAGTATGAGGCAGTATAACAGTAGCATTAGTATAAGAAGGAGGCGGTGTGCAGAAGTCGCAGGGGCCCCGTAGGAAGATTACTGATCGCGCTACTTGTGCTTGTGGGTTGTACTGCAGCCGGTAGTCGTCGTCGTGATGATGGCCATGGTCCTCCTTGGGGTAGCTGTATTCATATTAAAGACAAGAAGTAGTAGACATGGCGCTTCGTCGTTGTCGTCGTCGCCGATTCGGTGGGATCATCATCACCGCCACCATCATCAGCATCAGCATCAGCAAAATCACTAGTATCATCATCATCATCATCATCATCGTCATCATCATCGTCATCATCATCATCATCATCATCATCATCACTACCATCCTCATCATCATCAGCAGCAGCACCATCATCGTCACCGTCATCGTGGTCGTGATTGTCACCGTCACCGTCATCGTCATCAGATCCAGGGAGGCACCAACGAGTAAAACAATGCGTAGTCGTCCTTCGTTTCCTTCAATTCTCTCAGTTTCTGCATTCCCTCTGCCCCGAACCCAAAAGTCACACGCATAAACTTATCTTCAGTTCGAGCAGCATGAGGCCAGCATGGATCTCTCTTTTGAGCTGGCGGCCCTGGGCAAGTCCGCAGTCGACGCTGCTCATCGCTCCCCTGACAAGGTTGGGCGGGATGAGGATTTTTTTGGCTGGTCGCTTTGGATTGCCTTTCGTGTGTCTACTGTGATTTCCAGGGTCTTTGAGAGGTGTTGGGCAATGCGGGAGGTTTTGAGGGGTTCCCGTTTGATGCCGAAGGCTTCTCACTCGGGCAGGTGGACAGCACGAGACTGTTAGATCTGGTGCCGCTGCCAAAGTTTGGATTCTGTAAATGGTCATCCAAGTATGGATGGGGTTATCAGGGTATATGATCAGGTATGCTGCCCCTGAACCTGGGCCTCAGGTCTGGGAGAACATTCTGAACCGGATGCTTTGCGGCCTTCTGGGAGGTGCGAGCGTGGCACACGTGCGGAAGGTGAAACTAGGGATTCTGCTCTCAGACTCTTCGAAGTCTATCAGGGTTGTGATTGTACTTCTGGCGTCTCTCTCTCCAGATATGCTCGGCAGAAGTGAGGTGAGCGAGGCTTCAGGTATGCCCGGCTAGTTGCTCACCGCTTTTCATGGGCAGGCTCGCAAAGCTCCGTCCGGTGCTCAGGAGATCTCAGATGCAGGAGTGGACGGTCTAAATGACCGATCGCAGCCGAAGGGTCGTCCTTCGTGCAAGACCGAGCCGCCACCGCGCCGATAGCACCATCAGATTGTTGTTGAAATTGCAGCGTTCATCCATTCATCCAGTCTCTGGTGCTACTGCTACATGCTCTAAGCCCATCTCAAAAAAGGAATCCCTCTCCTCTGCCCCAACGGCAAACCCTAAAACCCCTTAACACGAATCACGAAGCCAACCCCTCGAACGCTTTCGAACCCTGAGCCCTAAGCCCAACTGAGGCCTCTGAGGCGGAGGCCGCAGACGGGAAGCCGGAGGAGCTGGCGCCGTCCTCGGAAGTAGGGCAGAGGATCTAGGGCTTTCTGTGTTGTTTTTGCGGTTTGTTCTGCAGGGTTCGGGAGTCTAGGACGGTCTCGGTGAGGCTTTTGGTTTCACTGCTTGAAGGGGGGGGGCGGCTTTGGAGTTTCTCAGTCAAGGAGCGTTGAAAGGATTGCTTACTGCGACCATGTCGATTTGCAGAGTGGCAGGTTCGCCAAATTTCCGTTCCACAGCTGGGCTGTGTGGCTTTCATTGCTGGTCACTTGGCATTGAGGCGCGGCCGGGATGGGGAGCTCCACTTGAACTCACCCTCCACCAATATGGATGATTGGCTGTCTAGCCGCATAGCCTGTAGCCACTTGTTATTGTCGTATAGCTGTCAGCATTTCCCTATCATTTTTCTGCTTTTTCTGCTCACAGCTGCAGTAATTGCATAGATACATGGTTGCTCCTGTTGCGTTTATGGGAAGTATGATGACGCTTCTAGTAGGTCCCTATTCTCGCGTGAAGAAGCATGAGTGCCAGAAAGGGTGGCCCCCTCCAGGATGCTCATCTTCCTGGAAGGGCTGCAGTCTGCGCTCAAGAGGCTCCTTGCATCAGACATGCAGTGTAACACTCTGCAGTATCGAGGTCTCTCAGATTTAGCAGCAGCTACGGTTGCAGACGCAGGCATTAAGGTTCCTTCTCAGCCGTGGCGAGACATGTCCGTTGCTTTTGAGCTGAGCCTGAAATTTTGCTTCAGAACCTCTAAGACTAAGAGATGCCACCCGCGTCTTGAGAGTTTGAAATCAGCCTTGAAACTCCGCAGCCTTCCGACGGCCCTTTCAGGAAGCGCCTGGCACAGGAGGAGGCCAAGATGGCCGAGCAGCGAGAGAAGAGCAAGGAGAAGAAGGCACCAGAGTGGATGCGTTCGGAGTACAGCAGCGGATGGTGCAGGTCCCAACAAAGCCTGCTCGGATGCCTAATAAATCCCCATTGGGTCCATCACCTCAAGGGCCGGCTCCAACTAAAGAGCTGGTGCACGGCCCCCAAAAAGAGATGGATGCATCAGAGTAGCTTCCTCTGGGATTCATTCGGGGAGTGAGAGGTAGAAGCCCGGCAGTTCACTTCCCAGCTTTAAAGGCACTCTGTGTCCTTGGGTTTGTCCATAAGTTTAGCAACCTGAAGCCCCCGAGTCGCTCCAGGGTCGGCATGATGTCTCTGAAGCCCCGAGCTTCGAAGCTTCGGGAGCCCTTGAGCCTTCTGCCATGCGACTTTGTGAAGGCCGTGGGCAAGAAGGGAAAGGCCCAGAAGGTGGACGAAGAGGAGGCCAAGGGCAGAACAGCTTAAGTCTTCGCGCTGTTCAGGGCGGCACGAGCTCTGAAGCCCAGACACCCAAGCATAATGCCCAACATCCGTTGCGCTGTGCAGGAGGAGAAGCACACCGAGGCCTGGGCGAGACGGGAGTGACAGCAGGGGAAGTTCCAGGTCTTTCGAGGCGTCGAGGTCACAGGGTCCCTTTAGCATTCCCTTTGGAGCTGCAGGGCAAAGCGAAAGTTGGCATTTCTTCCAAACCGGTCTCAAGTAAATGCTTGGGCTCAGGCGAGCATGGGCGGTGTCGGCCAGGAAGAGCGCGAAGCCGAGGCATGGGCCGATGTGTGTTGAGGGTTCGACTCCGGGCTTGCCCGAGTTTGGCTGCACGCTTTCTCTTATTCTTCTAAAACTTTTCCCTGACATGAGGCCTTTGCACAGCTTGCAGAAAACGGACTCCTCTACAGCACCAATCGCCTGCTGGACAGGGCATCCCGGCACCCTCTTCAGCATCGACTTTTTCCTCTTGAGAGATGACAGAGCTTGTGCTTCTGCGCTCGTCTTCCGGTCCTTCTGGTGCTCTTTTTTGTCCGCTGAGGTGAAGCCGCTGCTGTTCGCTTGCCTTCTCAACAAGGATCTTCGCATGTATCCGCTGATACGGCGGGTTGGTGCCATCAGCCTCTGCAAGTTCATGACAGTGCCCTTGAAGCAAGCAGCCAAATCACGTCAGAGGTCTGTTCAGGAACTATGAGCACTGGATGACAAAACTGCACTGCCTATGAGACCTCGGTGACTTCTTGGAATTGCAGTAATGCACGAAGCTCTGATTTTCGCAGACTCCGAGTCCCTTTGGCCTTTTTCAGGGCTTGAGGAGACAGGCACCCTTTGTTCGGATTCTCCGCAGTGAGTGAGATCCCATTGCCCCTTTGCGCACAAACTTGCACCAAGACCCCTAAGCACCGGATCATCAGCTCAAAACCCAGGCCATGCCCTAAACCAGTTAGACGCTAAACAATCCAGGTGTCGAAGCGCTTCTGCCAGGAGTCCGCCGGGGGACAGGGTCAGAGCCCTCCCCCAAGGGGTGCACGCTCGGTTTGCCTTCTTGTTGTTAACGTTTCTCATTTGCTACTGAAGATTGTAATTCATGAATAAACACATAATAAAGACTGGGTCCTAGGTTCGAACAGAACAGATTAGACTAGACTAGATTCAAACCGAACAGAATGAACTGGATAGGTAGATAGCCAGCTAGCTAGATATGTAGGTAGGTAGATAGATAGATGGATAGATAGATAGATAGATAGATAGACGCATCAAGGCATGGTGAATGCACAAACACATAAACATTGCATATAAATAGCTCAGTAAGAACAAGAATCGAAAATCCTTCATTATCGCCCGGGCGGCGACATGAACATCGCCGACCTACCACGAGTACGAGAAGGATTGTGCCACTTCTCGCTGTTGTTAGCATTGTTGTTGCGGCATTGCTGCCATAGCTACAATGTGCTTTACCATGTGTACAGTCTCATTTACTCCTTTCGTCACCACAATTCTGGCCTTGAGGACTTCTAGTACGATCTTGCTCTTGTCTGCGTGATTCTGGTAAACCCAGACCAAGACCGCCAGCCCTGAGCTTCAGACTCTAAAGCGTCCTTTCAGGAGAACTTGCAGCTGCTTTTCTCTGTGCTGTTCCCGAAATCGGGCAAGGGCCAGCTGAGTGGGGCAGCAGCTGAGGACAAGGGTGCAGGGCGCTCGCACGGGTCTGACACTCGCTACCCCAATCCGCGTAACTGGAGCCCAGTCTGCGTGCTAGCCCGACTACAAGCTCCAGTTAGGTAAGGTAGGCATGCATGAAGATAGGTAAGTAGGTAGGTAGGTAGGTAGGTAGGTAGGTAGGTAGGTAGGTAGGTAGGCAAGATGTGTGTATGTTTGCAAGTGCTGACGGCTTCGACGAGGTGATGCTTAAACAGTTATAGGTTCAATCACTACGAGATGAAGCTTCCATCCCCTGGTGTCGGTTTGGAAGGCATTGAGACCCAAGGATGGAGCAGGAGGTTCAACAGGCTTCGCATATGTGTTGAAGTTTTCACCTGCTTCGTGTGAACCATTCGCCCTCCACCATAAGCAAGACACCTTCGAGCCTCTCCAGCTTGAGCCCTGGCGAGGACGCGGTGATGGGTCCTGGTGGTCTTTTGGAGGAGACGCCTAAGACCAGCAAGCCTGAAGCCCAGCATTTTCCAAACCCAATATCGCGTCCAAACAACAACAACAACAGCAGCAAATACCACGCAACTGCGCCACCTCTACGAAACCTCCACCACCGCTCCGCCCCGCAACCGCCACCACCGCCACCACCGCCACCACGCCACCACCGCCACTGCCGCCGCCACCTCCACCACCGCCACCACCGCCACGACCGCCACGACCGCCACCACCGACACCACCGCCACCACCGTCACCACCGCCACCAACGCCACCACCGCCGCCGGCACCACCACCACTGCCACCACCAACTCATAAGAATACTACCACCTCTACCACCACCGCCGCTGCTGCCACTGCCCCTTTTTGCTTGGCTTCTGCTGCCGCTGTCGCTGTTGCTGCAACCACGACCAGAACAACGACCCACGGCCACAACCACGACACATGACTACGACCACCTTCACTTTCGCCAACACTACGATTACCACTACCACAGCGAGGTAGACAACCTGGATTCCTCCGATTTGGTGGACAGCTTTAAACACATGTCATGAGTGGAACACGTCCTAAGAAATAGACGCCTCTGCTGATGCAAGTAGCCAGAAGTTTGAATTGGATATTGCAGTTGCACTCGCAAGCACACTTCTCAGATGTAAATCAGATTGATGTGCCAAGCCTTCCTAGACCCCTGAGCAAACGACTTTTAGTGCCCAATCGGGTTGCAATTTAAGATTCCTCGCAGGATCTCACTTTACGACAATCCTTGCTGGTGGCTGTTGGTGACCTACTGTTCCGGCATCCGAATGTAGTGGAGCCTTGGAACCTCGGTCTCTTCCAGCCTCTGCAGTTTCAGTGCCTCCATGACTTTGTTTGCAAAGGCCCAGACTGCACAACTGCAGCCGTGTTCGGCAGCGAGGAGAGTCGGAGAGTTCATGTTCCCCAGAGCAGCTCAGGACGGGACGCCTGTATGCCACCTTGACTTCGACAGTGGACAGCAGCGAGGAGGGCGGTCAGAGTGCCTGCGATCTTCGACTGACCGCATTGTTGGTTCTGACGCACCTGGTTCTGAACGACATGATGAAGCCCCGGCCCGTGCTTCTGATTCGGGCACTGTGGCTCACTGCGTGCAGCCATGAAGCCACCGCTCGGGTCGCTCGAATCCTTTTCCAGGAGCTCTCGAAGCGCAGCACTAATGTGGTCTACAACCTGCTCCCTGAGATTGTGGCGCGGCTGCCAGAGCATGTGGCCGAGGTCGGTGTCGAGGGCGGGGCCACCGGTCGTGTGCAATACATCATGCAGTTTGTGGAGAAGGAGAAGCATATCGAGGGCCTCATCGAGAAGTTCTCCTTGCGACTTGAACAGTGTGCTGGTGGCTCTGGTGCCCACACCGAGCCGACTGCGACGCAGGCAGAACCAGAGATGGATTTAGAAGAGGCGGTCCCTGTGCGGGTAGAGGACACCATCTCCTGCCTGGCACATGCACTTGGAGCTATGAACTACTCTGACAGATGCATCCTGCGTTTGCATGATGTTGTCGTGGTGAGGAAAGCACTGAATCTCAGCTTGTCCTACCACGCTGTGGTTAGAGATTGCATCCTAGGTGTTGTAGAAAAGGCCCGCAAGCCTCGACAAGGCAAGGAGAAGGGTGAAAGCGCACCCGCCGAGCCAGATGCAGCAGCTGCCGAAGGAGGTGGCGGTGGTGCCAAAGGAGCAAGCGCTGCAGCGGCATCTGCGCTAGATGCCCTGGAGCAGCTAATCAACACACTGGCAAACGGAAAAGACGAGTCGAAAGAAGAGGCTCCTGCCGTCGCTGTCCGAAAGCCTGGCAACCTGCCTGGCAAGAAGAAGCAGGCGGACACCAATGCTGAGCCGGGTTTTGAGGAGGCTGAGAAAAAGGAGCGAAGCGGTAAAGGCCGCGGCAAGGGGCGTGGAAAGGCTCGCGTCGCCGGCAAGGAGAATCTTCCGGGCAATGGTGTGCCGAACAAAGGCCGAAAGCGAAAGGCTGAAAAAGCCAGGGCCGACGATGATGACGAGGATTATGAGTAAATAGTGCAGTTCGCTTCTCCCCAAAACAGGGAGGATGCCAGCAGTGCAGCGAGCACTGACTTGTATCGTAGAGATTCCAAGGAATGCGCCACTGTTCTGGACCCTCCGGCAGCGATTACAGATGTGCTATCAGCTGCTATCATCAGGCTGCAATTTCTTGGCTATGCCAATTCCAAAGCCAACATGTGGAGTCCAGAAGAGTAGGCCGCAGAAGTGTTCACCGCCTGATTGATTGAATTTGTGGGCACGGGTCCGTAAGCGCTGGGATCAACTTGAAAGGTCAGGAGTTTTCAAACTTTACGGTGCAGCGGATTGTTGCACAAGATTTCGCCTTTGCCCCCATTCATCAGGTGCTCACACGAGCCCTGGGCTTTCCCCGGGCATCGAATTAGCCTCTCCGCTCTCGGCTCTAGAAATCCTCGTCGTTTTACCCAGCTGCCTTGTGCGCCTCTGAGCGGAGACTGAGTTGTACAGCGTTGCAGGACGTGTTTGTAGCTGGTCCAAGGGCGTGCAGGAATCCTTCCTAGTTGCACTACGTCACGTGCAAGTGGCTACAGGGCCCCGGACCAGTCCTCTGTTGCCAGCCGCATGCTCCAGTGCTTCCTGAGTGGGAGCCAGTCGGTGCCTGAGGTCGGTAGTAATTGCCTGACTGTGGGGTAAGTCAGCGGGGAGGTCGGCATGATGAGTCCGATTGGCGCCTGAAAACAGCATCAGCTGCATGTGCTTGAATCTGCACCGGGCACTCAACTTTGAGGAGTCTTGGCAGGCACATGCTTCTGCTTGCCACTAAAGTTCTGGAGCATCTGTCTGCCTGCTTCGTGGCTGCCCAGTTGAGCCATGAGGGCTCCACGTATTTAGTGGAGGTCTAGTGACTAGTGCATGTGGACTACAGGAGCTCGTCGGGAAGGGATTCGGATGTCATCGGCGCAGCCGGGCCATGGTCTTCCCGACCCCTGGGCGCTCATCGGGGCCCCCTGCAGCCCCAGCAGCCTATGTAGCGATCTTTGGAGCCCTCTTTGTGCTTATCCTGGCGCTTGGCCGGCAGCTCGCCCGGCTGCGGCAGGCCGCAAAGAAGTATGAGACGGTGGACACATCAGATCGTGGCAAGGCGCTCGTGGCGCGTGTACGGATAGAGAAGGGTTGCGTCGTCCTGGTGGAACGCGCCGTTCTGTCTGTTCCTGCAGGGGCCAGTCCGATCCCCGCCATGGGTTTTCTGGGCTGGAGGGCGCGACGTTTGTTGGAGAGTTTGTACTGCCCCGCCTCTCTGGCCGTTTCGAGCGTCTTGGATGTGTTGATCTGCATGAAGAACTAGAGTAACTAGATACTCCATCAAGTCGTCAGTTCGTGAGTTCAGAGCCTCAAAGCAAGGAGTAGAGGATGGAGAAAATGCCCTGAGCGATGAGATCGGACGGCACGGTGAGAAGCTACTGCAGGCCATGGTGCAGAGTGGTCTCTGGTCCGTGAAACAAGCTGAAAAGGATTTTGCCTGGGTTTGGACCCTTCTACGTGTGCCCTGGACCTCTTTGGCACAGAGAGTTTTGGCAAAAGCTCCGAGTCTCCTAGCGGCCGGCAATCAACAGTCCAGGGTCCAAACGTCCTATCTGTATCAAACGACCCCCCCCTGAAAACAGAGTTTTCAAATCCAAGGCACTTGCCAAAAGTGTTTGGGTTTGTTTGCTTTCTTCCTGTTGTCGTTGCGGGTTTTGGTTCCGGCTTTCGGGTAAGGTCTGGGACGCCAACAAGCTTTCCTTCGCGAGCCGGAAGGGCCTGGAGCAGGGCATCTTTCAGAGCATCAGCAGGTTGCGAGGCTGCAAGTCCTGAGGCTCCGAGTTCTGCGGTTTTTTCCCCAAGCCCCCAAAGTGGCCGTGGGGTCTAAACCCTAAACCCTAAACCCTAAACCCTAAACCTTAAACCCTAAACCCCTAAATTACAGTACTGGTGGAAGCTTAAAGCTGAGCTGCAAGGCTCAACCACTCCTGCGAGCCCAATCTGCGGCTGCTGCCCACTGGGGAGCCAGGGGAGCTCATGGCCGTGGCTACTATGGGCATCGAGCCGGGGAAAGAGCTCTGCATATGCTGCTTGTGGTGTCTATGAGGTTTCAGGGCCGAGCAGGGTGAGGGGATCTAAGTGGAGCGAGTTTCGTCTTTTCCTTTCGGGCCCCAAGGCTACCCTGAGCACAACGCGCTGCCGATGCTGCACTTCCTACATCTGCCAACCTCGTGGCGCCGACATTTGCTGCTGCGATGGCAGTTCCATTGCTGCTGTACTCGATGTCAGGTGCCGGAGGATGCCGCACGCTGTTTTCAGTGTCCAAAAAGAGCCGGCTGCCCTGGAAAGCTCTCCGTGAGGGCCGCTGCCAAGGAGCTTTTGGCCCCTTGCGGGGTCTGTGGCTTCGCCTTGGCCGAGGCGGAGATGCAGCAGCTCTTGGCCAAGGAAGAAAGGGCAGAACAGGATGTCAACGACCTGATGAGCCAGCTGAAGAGTGCCAAGGACGACAGCTTCCCACTGGAGGGGGTTCTGAATCTCCTGGGCAAGTGCTCGGAAGCAGGACTTACATCTCCTAAGTCCCCAATTCTTCAACCTTGCTTTCATCCAGGGTTTGCTGGTCTGAGATGCTTGCGTATTGGGGCCAGGATTGAGCATCGAGCACTGGCTCTCCTTTTGGCTCCTCTCTCTGGCTGCTGTCGGCTCTTCTGGACGGCCGCTCCGGGTGGCTGCGCATGGTGTTGCTCGGTCCACTGCTGCCGGGATATCTCAGAACAGCTTTTGTTTTTGAGGGGCTGTAGCCCGTCTCCCTCAACCTCTTCTTGTCGGTTGCTTCAGAGTCGTTTCCCAAGCCGAAGATCAACCAAGACCATGCCGGCCCTGCCTGGCACGTGCCTGGGCTCTGGCGGCTGTGGGTCGATCTTGCGGTCAGATTGGCTGGGCTTGGACCTGGATGTAGGGTTCAGGGTCTGGCGGTACGGCTTTGCAGCCGTTGGGTTCTGGGCATGCAAGTTTGGCTTTTGCTCTCTTGCTGGACATTTCAGTGTGCGAGCGACATGCAAGGAACTTTGCAGTGTGACATGTCGTTGGGATGCATGAAAAGGACCCGGCGAGGAGTCTTTCAGACACTCTTGTAGTCATCACCTGCTCATTGTATGTAGTGGCATCCTCCATAAGTCTATCAGTCAAAAGCCCCAAGAACAACTTGGAGCCCTCGGAACCCTCAAGCTCCCCGAGCTGAGGTTCGGAGCTCTGGCAGAAAAAGCGCCTGCGAGCGCGCGCCCGCTCCTGCTCGCAGCGGACCCGAAGTGGGGAGGAAGTGGCATTGACTTTAAAATGTTTAGTTCTGGGCTGAAAGGATTTGGATTTTGGAGTCTGGCAACTTCCAGCCCACCGCCATCACCTTGAATTGAAAAGCCAGACCAGCAATGTTAACAGTGATGTGATGCGAGTCATAACTACAACTAGCATGACTATTGCAG